TTGACTGACACAGATCTGTAAAACAAGACAGTTCTGAGACAACCCCTCCCCTGGACTGATCTGTGAGTCCGGGTTCATCTGTGTTTCAAACTTGGCAGAGTCCCACAGCCATCTTGCTTCTGAAAGTCTTTATTACACGTGGCCATGGATGGCCCCATGCAACCACAACAGGGGCATTGCACTGTTAAGTAGGCCCCAGTCTCTTGGCCATGGGTTCAAACTGTGAAGTTCCATCTCCAACTTCCATGCCTGTGGGCTCCCTGTATAGAAAAATCATTTTCTCTTGGGGCTGGCAAGTAGCAGAGACACAATAAAAATCGATGGCCCCAGACTCTAGTCTTGATGGACTCTCAGTGACGATCCTTCAATGATGTGCCAAAGACCTCTCCCAGGCAGGGCAGCTGACTGGAATGCAGCACAATAGGCTGCCATTGAGCCAGGTCTGACTTGTCCTGTTACCGTGACAATATTTCCACATATACTACAACAAAGTTCACAACATGACACCATCACACCACACTCTGTCACACAAGCAAACAATTCACCAAAAGCCATCGTATCCAAAGCAGCATTTATACCTGCAAAAGGAAAAGGGTCAGAGACCTCATCGAGTCCATTGGGAACTTGATAATGGCTATTCATTTTAGGTGGAAGGTGCTGAGATGGTGTGATGGTGGGTGGCAATACAGGATAGATAGATAGATTCTGATCTTATTTATATTGTTGTAAATAGATAGTAAGTCCATTGTCCTGACTCTGCATTTTTATCAGTGTAAATGCCCCTTTCTGCATAAGCAGATTTCAAAATATGGTTTCAATAATGTTTTCATTTGATTATATTTAAAAAGAAACACAGAAAGAAATCACGATCAAAGATGAAAGATGGACAGTTCATTTTTGGTGAATAACCTCCCCGCCATGAGTTTCCTCAGGGCAGCTTTGATCTCCTTGTTCCTCATGCTGTAGATGATTGGATTCATCATTGGAGGCATCACAGAATAGAGAACAGGCACCATGAGATCCAGCACTGATGTTGAGCTGGAGGTGGGTTTCAGGTAGGCAAAGATTACAGTGAAGAAGAACAAGGAGACCACAATGAGGTGAGGGAGGCAGGTGGATAGAGCTTTATGCCGGCCCTGCTCAGAGGGGATTCTCAGCACTGTGGTGAAGATCTTAACATACGACACAACTATAAAAACAAAGCAGCTGAAGCCTAAGCATGTACTAAAGAGAATAACCCCAGTTTCACGGCGGTATGTGTCAGAGCAGGCGAGCTTGAGGAGCTGGGGGATTTCACAGAAAAACTGATCCACCATGTTGCCTCCACAGAAGGATAGTGCAAACGTGTTCCCGGTGTGCACTGCAGCATAGACAAAAACACTTATCCAAGCACTGGCTGCCATTTGGACACAAGCTCTCCTGTTCATCACTCTCTCATAGTGCAATGGTTGGCAGATGGCGACGTATCGGTCGTATGCCATGACGGTGAGTATGGAGTACTCGGTTACAGCAAAGAACATAAAGAAAAAGACTTGTGTGACACATCCAGAATAAGAAATTGACTTGGTGTTCATGAGGGAGTTGGCCATGGATTTGGGGACTGGGACAGAAATGAAGCCAATGTCTAGAATGGACAAATTCATCAGGAAGAAGTACATGGGGGTGTGAAGATGGTGGTCGAGGGCTACGGCTGTGATGATGAGAAGATTCCCCACCAGGGCTGCCAGGTAAATTACCAGAAACACCACAAAGTGCAAAATCTGCAGCTCCCGAACGTCAGAGAATCCCAGGAGAAGGAACTCGGTCATGGTGGTTCGGTTGGACATTTCCCTCTCCA